TCTGGCATTAAAACACAATTTGAAACATGCTGAGGAAGGATCCCCCTCTCCTTTTGACCAAGTAAGGTTAAATATTCTGCAAAGAGTTGCATTTGAATTGAATTTTTTTATACTTTTACCAGGAAAGAACTACATTACTCATTTACTATGGTTTAATGTGTCAGAATTGTCTATTTTAAGTTTTTTAGTCTATTTTAAGTATTTTAACAAAGATTTTGTTGCCATGGTTGGAAAACAAACAACATTTCTGTGAAATCTTTCAAGATGCTGTATTATAAATCATCTACTGTTACTTTTTTAGCATGACTTCATGCATTTTCATTAATAAACATGAATAATAATATTGCATTTTTTGTTTACAAATAAGCAAGAATATTCATGAATGCTAATGGTTCATGAATTTTATTCATTCATGAACATTCCTGAAAAAATTCATCAAATTATTCATGAATAGTTCATGAAGATGCAATGAACTTATTATTGGACATTCTTGAAATGATGAATCTTCATGAATATGACTCTTCATGAATTATTCATGAAAAAAAATATTCATGAATATTCATCAATTTTCTTTCATGAATAAAAATTCATGATTTGAAAATGTCCAATAATAAGTTCATAGGATCTTCATGAACATTTCATGAATATTTCATGAATAAAATTCATGAAAAATTCAAGGAAATTCATGAATTATTCATGATCGTCTCGCAGGGGCAGCTAGGTACGCATTGTGAACGGAACGGTTCGCTTTGTGGACAGTATGGTATGCTTTGTGAACGGACCGGTTCACTTTGTGCACAGAATGGTATGCTTTGTTCATGGTAGGGTTCGTTTCTGAGGTGTAGTAGCACAGTTAAGGGTCTGTACTTTCTCCTTGCCTTAGTAAATCAAACACATTATTTTTCTAAAATAACTTCACACCCCGTACACCAAAGGATTTTGCTCGTGCACCAAGACAAAAACAAATGTTTGACTAAATTTAAACCTTGCTCAATGCAGGAAAAGTGTTCAAAGTCTTGGGAAAAGTGGGGAATTTTTTTTATTTAATAATAAAAATTAGATATATTCAACATGTGGATAAAACCACAAAATAAGGTGTAAATGCGGTTTATCTCCACCTCCTCACCAATTCTCCATTGTAGTCGGTGCACTCCATCTAGTATTACATAATGAAATCCCAAAATGCAATGCATATTGGCAGGAAACACAAAATTTCCAAGAAATCAATGTCCAAGTAGGATATACAAATAACTAATTTAAGGTTGTTTTTTTTTTTTAATTTGTGTGTGTAAAATAACTTATTTAAGTTATTTTTTTTATAACTTGTTTGAGTTATGCCCCTGACTACAAGTGGCAAACACATGAACAGAAAGATGGATATGATGATTCCTATGCACATGTATACACCCATGCTTATAAACAAACAATATACACTAGTACCACACTTAAATTCAAAATGTTCAACCTCTGTGAAGAAATTGAAGCAAAACTAAAGGTGGACCACCAAACCGACTGACAGAAATCAGCAAAGCAATATGCCCTCCCTTCTTTGAAAGGGATGCGAGCATAATTATATGTGTACTTCTAACTGAATTAAAAACAAAATTACCCTTTGTCAGAATATAGATTAGCAGGAAGGCTGTTTTTCCTCATTTTTCCATGTTAGATTCTGACTGTTCTTCAAAAGATTCTGGCATATACCCCTGAAAGAGTAAACAGTGAAGATAATAAAGAGCACCTAAATTGACATGATCAACTGCATATTTTTTTAAAAGATCAACTTAAAAGGGATAGAAATCAGAGAAAATTTGTTTAAATGACCAGGACTACATGTAGAGAGATTAATCCCTACCTCAAAAACAGGCTGCCATGGGCAGTCAGTAATTTCCAACTCTGATATGAGATGCTAAACATACTAATTGTCCAAAATTTACAAATTAATGTTTAATGCATATATACTGTAGATTGGCAAATATTCACGATGGTTTTAATCTGCTATGTTCGCGATCTATCATTTTTCCGCGAAATTAAACCCATTGTGAATGTTATCATTAGTTGTTAAAAGCGTTTAAATGCTTATACGAAATTTGAATTAATATCTTAAAGTGTGAAATTAAAACCATCGGAATTGGTACTATTTGAGATATCATGAAATTTTAACATCGCGGAATTAAAACAATTTACAGTAATATGTAGAGATTCTTAAATTTCATGATTTGTACATGTAGATTGAGACAGATGATAAATACATTTCTAATTCTATATTTTGTCTGTTGTATGCTTGAATTGAAAGAACATTGACAACAAGCATCATTCAGAGTAAATTTGGATTTTCACATATTATACATAATTAAATATGCATAATATACATTATGCATAAGGGAGACCAAATATATTATTACTGCATTAAGGAGACCAACTACTATCCACATGCAAATCAACATTCAAAACTTCAGATATATTTCAATACCCTAGTTTATTACATGCTTTATTACAGTAACTAAAATCTAAGAGGGACATTAAACAACAAAGAAACAAACAAAAATACATGCCAGTCTTTAAATTTATATGATACAAGTATATTGTATGCATAAGGGAGACCAAAAGTATTATTACTGAATTTAGGAGACCAACTTAAATTCACATGTAAATCAGTATTCAAAACTTGAGAATTTTATATTCATATGAAGCAGAATTTATGCAAAATCTTATGCGTGAAAAGAAGAAAACACTTGCTGTGGCCTTCAACTTGACCTTCAGATATATCGACAACATGTCAATTACATTGTAACAATGGTAATTTCTATGTCGATACGATACATTCAGGAGAGCTTGAGATAAAAGAAACCACAGACTCTGACACATCTGTTTCTTACTTGGATATTTTACTTGAAAAAGACAATAATCACTGTTAATGATAACCTAACAACCTAGTTATATGATAAACATGACGACTTTATCTTTTGTATCATCAGCAATATACCTTCATCACCTGCATATGGAGTGTATATATCTCAGTTGATTCGATACGCAAAAGCATGCTCTACATACGAACAATTTCTAAAACGAGGTAAATTATTGACAAGCAAGTTGATGAAACAAGAATATCAGCAGTCTTGTTTAAAGTCATTATTTTGTAAGTTCTATAGTTGATACAATGACCTTGTCTGCAAATACAATTTATCATTGAGTCAAATGCTGACTGACATTTTTCATACCAATTGTTCGTCCATTATTTATAACCTGAATTGACGACAAATTTTCCGTTATTTCACTATCACTTCACTGAGCAAACATCGGGTGTGACCAGTCAGCATTGAATGCTCACTTCTCCATGGCACCTGATCCCACCTCTGATGTTTCGGAGGTCCGTGTTTGCTCTGCTCTTATTTTGTGTTGTTTATGGACTTCGATGTTGAATACTGTTCGTTATCTCCATATCCTTCTTTTTATACTCTAGTAAGTTATATGTTTTGTTAAATAAACAAAATTAAGAGGGACATTAAACAACAAACAAAAACACAAACAAAAATACATGTTGATCTTTAAAGGACAAGTGCACTTAAGCAATGCTTAATGGGCCCTTTTTATGTGCCATTTTACTTTAGAACATATAACCAAATCCTTCTCTTTTGGAAATAGTTATATACTAGTGTATATTTCTAATTAAAAAGCACGATAATCATCACCCAAATCAGCATGGATTTGAAACAATTGACTTTTTTTAAATGCCTATATGGACACCCTAAAAATCCGGAAAAGTCGTACCGAACCTTCTTTTAGTTTCGTTTATGTAAATCAAGGCGAAGAGATCTTGAACAATCTGATGGTGTCATAGTCGGGCGCGTTTGTTTGTGCTATATCTGTTTTAAAAAATTGAAAGAAGTTGTGTAGTTGCCTGTAGCCATAATAATCAAACTAAGAAATCGGTACTCTTGCATTTGAAAAAATATATACAATAAAATGAATTTGAAATCTAAAAGGAGTGTTTAGGTGGCTTTCAATACCCGTTTCATTGTCTTTCATAAATGTTAAAAATGTCTGACACTTTTATGAGTGGCGCTAAACTCTCTTTACCCTACTGTAATCTTAAATATAGATACATAGAAATATTTCTAAGCGGTGCGACTTTGACTAAATGATAAAAAACCTGCCGATGTTTTACAGTGAGCACTTTTGAGGAATGTTTACCTGGGTAGAACTCACGTGACTATCAGTATTTTAAATAATCTATTCCACAAGTGGGTTCAACATGGGTAATGCAGGTAAATACCTCTCACTTGCTATAGGAAAAACATTGTACTTTTTGTACATTTTTAGCTCACCTCAACGAAGTTGGGGGGAGCTTATGTGATACCCTCGGCGTCGGCGTCGGTGTCGGCGTCAGCGTCCCAGGTTAAAGTTAAGTTTTTTGGAGCAGTTTTCCTTTTAATTACTTCTGTGTCCTATACTGATTAGACATGCATGGAAGATGGTTTTAGTGTGTTTCATTGTACCAGTCAAAGTTTCAGATGCTGCAATTTCAGCAAAGGAATTACCAGGTTAATGTTTTTGGAGCAGGTTAACATTTTTGGTGCAGTTTTTGGTGTGGGTTTCATTTCCAAGTACAGTTAATTCTCGATAAACCGCCACCTTTTGTAATTTAGAAATCATGGCGGTATAACGAATTTGGCGATGAATTGAATTTTCCATCTTTAAGGAGAAAAGACGTAGAGTTATCCTTCTTAGAAATACCATTTAGCGTTTCTATTCTTATTATCACATGTACATGTATATATAAACATATTTCTAAATTTGAAAATACTTCAAGTAATTTTTTGTGTACAATTTCGCTAAAACAAAGTATTCAGTTATGAAATTAAGACAAGTATATGTGTATTATGTAAATCTGCACGTCTATATTAAAAAAAAAAAATGCTGGGTCGATCGTCATGATATATCGCCTAAAGTACGTAAAATAAGTTCTTGAATAAATTCATTGTTTATGAAATCATTGTAAATGAAACGTTCACAATTTCTGACTTAGAATTATTTTTTAAACAAACCTTGCATTGTTTTTAAAAGCAGAGATCATCAAAATAATATCGTTATCGTCGTACTTTACAACGACCGCTTTCGTGGCGAAGCCTTGACTAAATGATTTTATTAAAAAGAAAACAAAATTATTCTAACAGTTCATGTTAAAATCATTGTTTACTTAATTGCATGTACCTTGATTGGCTTTGCACGCTTTACAACAGGGATAGCGTCAACCAATAACGCGCTTCACTGACCACATACACCTTGGCGGTATTATCGAGATAATTGACACTTAAAAATGGACGTTTGTTGTGAAAACAGGGTGGCGGATGGCGGTATGCGAATTTGGCGTTATAAAGAGAATTTTATATAGCAGGAAAAACGTTCTTGGGAAATCATGGCGGTATTGCGAAAATGGCGATGAATCGAATGGCGATAATTCGAGAATTGACTGTAACTATAAGCCCTATGTTGACCAAACTTGCATGGATGATACATCTAAGGATGCATACTACCAGGCTTGCTTCGGATCCTGAATCTGACCTACATTTTCCGGTTGAGTAAACAGGTTAAAGTTTTTGGTGCAGGTTTCATTTCCAAGTAACTATAAGCCCTATGTTGACCAAACTTGCATGGATGATACATCTAAGGATGCATACTACCGGGCTTGCTTCGGATGCTGAATCTGACCTACATTTTCCGGTTGAGTGAACAGGTTAATGTTTTTGGTGTAGGTTTCATTTCCAATTTACTATAAGCCCTATGTTGTCCAAACTTGCATGGATGATACATCTACGGATGCATACTACCGGGCTTGCTTTGGATGCTGAATCTGACCTACATTTTACGGTTGAGTGAACAGGTTAAAGTTTTTTGTGCAGGTTTCATTTCCAAGTAACTATAAGCCCTATGTTGACCAAACTTGCATGGATGATACATCTAAGGGTGCATACTACCGGGCTTGCTTCGGATGCTGAATCTGACCTACATTTTCCGGTTGAGTGAACAGGTTAAAGTTTTTGGTACAGGTTTCATTTCCAAGTAACTATAAGCCCTATGTTGACCAAACTTGCATGGATGATACATCTAATGATGCATACTACCGGGCTTGCTTCGGATGCTGAATCTGACCTACATTTTCCAGTTGAAAACAGGTTAATATATATTTGCAAGTAACTTTAAGGCCTATGTTGACCAAACTTGCATGGATGATACATCTAAGGATGCACACTACCAGGCTTGCTTCGGATGCTGAATCTGACGTGCATTTTCCGGTTCAGTGAATAGTTAAAGTTTTTGATGCAGGTTTCATTTCCAAGGAACTATGAGTTCTTTAATGACCAGTCTTGCATAGATGATACATCTAAGGATGCATACTTCCAGGCTTGCTTCGGATGCTGAATTGACCTACTTTTTGTCAATGAGTGAAAATGTTAGTTTTGATGCATGTTTCATTTCCAATAAACTATGAGCCCTATAATGAGCAAACTTGCATGGATGATACATCTTAAGATGCACACTAATGGACTTGCTTCGGATGCTGAATTGGACATACATTTTTCAGATAATAGACAAGGTAAAAGTTATGGTTGCAGGTCTATTACCAAAAACTACAAGGCTTATATAACATTGTATAAACCAAACTTGCACAAATGCTGCATCAAGAGATGAAAACTCTCAAATTTGCTTCAGATGCTGGATTTTCATTACATTTTCATGAAGAAGAAGTAGTTTAAATTTTTTATGTAGGTCTATTTCAAAGTCAGATCAAAATTGCTTTTAAAAATATTTTCATTTTTGGAATGTATACTTTTTGTTGGTTAATTGTTTGACTTTGCCTTACTTAAAGACAACATTCGTTGAGGTGAGCTCTGTAATCTCTGATTACCTATGTTTAATATTTTAACTACCAGCCTAATCGTGTACAGATTTCCTACTTTCACACAAGTTTTATAAATGTATTATGCGTCTTTTGTCATTCGCACAAGTTTGTACAAAGTTAGGCTCATAGTAAACAAAAGCTTTGAAATGAATGACCGTTCTCGATTCAATATAGAAAATCACAAAAGTCGGTTAACCCCTGCTGCATTCTATGGTTTTGTTCTTTGTATATACATGAATTTCAGCGGTAAAATTTGTTGAATCTTACGGTTTAGATATCAATCAATGATTTGGGATGAAAAATTTTGCTTAATTTGAATGTTTATTTTTTCACATTTTACCGGGGCCCATAAGTGCACTCGTTCTTTATATAATATACTGTATGCATAAGGGAGACCAAATGTATTATAACTGCATTTAGGAGACCAACTACTTTCTACATGTAAGGCCATACCAATTTCTAATATAGTTCGTCGGATTCGCCGCTTCTATTTATTACAAATGCAAATTATAATATTTAAAAAAAAATGTCGGCGCACGCTTCCAACAAAATCCGACTTCAATTTTTTTTCTCGACTTTTTGCAACAAACACACATGTATGACAGATGCGCGGGATTTATAGTGAGATTGAAGCAGTTTGTGAAGTTTTGCACCATGTCTGTAACTGTTCATAGGTACCAGGGGTGTGCAATTAGCATCCCCTGACGCCCGGGGCTAACATTTTTGGGGGTCGGGATAGTGGTTTTCTACAAGGAGGTAGCCCGTCGGGCTAGTAAAAAATATAACAACACACGCAATACATGAAAAGCACAACCGGTATTTTAACTCGTTTTTTGGCTATAAAATTCCCAACCAGTTTATATTTTCCAGACAACATACTCCTACTGTCAATAAATTTCCATAATCTTATCCGTTTGCAGAACTACCTGACTTATTTACTTCCAAAAGCGATCGTTTTTTCCTAATCCGAATTTCCTCTATTCCTCCGTTTATGGTAAATACATGCAGCTATATCTTTAAATTATTTTCGATCACTCAATCAACTGAAAGATAAGTGTTTTGTGTCTCACATAAAATATATTTCTATTTTGAATGATTTAAGATGAAAACAAAATGAATTTAATTTCATTCTAAATGAGCTAGTGCTCATTTTAATTTTATTTCATAATAATTTAAACATGACTGAATTTGATATTGAGAATTTAAACTTTGACTTTAAAAAGAATGACCTCAGTACCCTGACTTTTATCAGCAATTAATTTCTTTTTCAACATATTTTATAGTTTTATTTTAATTTTTGCCCCTGTATTTGGGCTAGTAACTTTGCAGCTGCCACTAGCCTGTGGGCTAGTACTTGATTTTTTTAATTGCACAACACTGTGTACTATAGTTAAAAACAATGGGTACAAAGTTGTTTCATATACAGCAATAGAAATGGAAGCAGAGGAGATGTTTGAAAACATTACATTTATGAAAGTAAAGTCTTTGAAATTTGACACATTTTTACTTATTAAAAAAAATCTCCAAAAGTTAAGAATGATAAGTTCATGTGGTATGCAAATGATATCTATCTTAATTTTTTTAGGTTCACGCTCTTTGAAATCACACTTTATTAAAATATATATATATGCATTAATTATATTCGCTCGCCTCATAATTTTGAAACCCAAAATAAAAAATAATATTTATAAAAAAATTTCGCTCGCTCGCCTCACTTTTTATTTTTGAAAATCCGAAGAACTATTTTACAAATTGGTATGGCCTAAATCAGTATTCAAAACTTGAGATTTTAATACACTGGTAAGTTATATGTTTTGTTAAATAAACTAAATATAAAAGGGAAATTACACAACAAACAAAAATACATGTTGATCTTTATATTTATATAATATACTGTATGCATAAGGGAGACCAAATGTATTATAACTGCATTTAGGAGACCAACTACTTTCTAAATGTAAATAAGTATTCAAAACTTGAGATTTTAATACACTAGTAAGTTATACAGTCCAGTCCAATACGAAAATTCGTAATATTACCAAAAAACGTAAGATTACGAAAAAGCGTAATATTACAACTTATCATAATATAAAACTTATATTACAATTTTTCGTAATGTAGTTAAATTACGAATACGCGTAATATAGCAGATGTAAGAGACTATATATATTACGAGTTTTCGTAATCCAAGACAAATTCAAGCATTGCAAGAAATTGAGTGGCGGGTAGCAAAGTACGACGTTTAATACGAGATGTCACGGGCGATAACTTGTACGGCTCTTACTGAGATTTGAATTCTGTGTATTTCAATAAGAATTGCACGAACAGTTGAATTATGAGACGAGGGAGTGGTTTTTAGGGTAGACTTCGTAAGAAAAGTAGGGAGTTTGGGTGATATAGACCAATGCGACATGCTTAAGCGAATATTGAAATTTACTGGAAAATTGGTCTTGTCCTTGGGAAAATTCCTATAAAAGAATAATAAAAGAAATTGTCCACTCACCCATCGCTGGCGGTACTTTCTTCTTGAATTTCCATGCTTTCTGATAGGCATAACTGACCAAACTGACCGCGTGCTATCAGTAGCCGTGAAATCTGATATATTACTGACGTCATACTTTGCTACCCACCACTCAATTTCTTGCAATGCTTGAATTTGTCTTGGATTACAAAAACTCGTAATATAGTCTCTTACAATCTGCTATATTACGCGTATTCGTAATTTAACTACATTACGAAAAATTGTAATAAGTTTTATATTACGATAACTTGTAATATTACGAATTTTCGTATTGGACTGGACTGTTATATGTTCTGTTAAATAAACTAAATATAAAAGGGAAATTAAACAACAAACAAAAATACATGTTGATCTTTAAATTTATAATATACTGTATGCATAAGGGAGACCAAATGTATTATAACTGCATTTAGGAGACCAACTACTTTCTACAAGTAAATCAGGATTTAAAACTTGAGATTTTATAATAACCTAGTAATAAAGTTACATATTTTCCAAAATGTTTATCCCAATACAATAGTAATTTACTTTAAATTGTTTGTATTTAGATGACTTTAATCAATTTATCTCAGCCAGAATTAAAACAAGCTAATCTCACAAGTGGGCAAACACATGAACAGAGAGATGGGCATGATGATTCCTATGCACATGTAATGTATACACCCATGCTTATAAACAAACAATATATACATTAGTATCAAATTTGAATTCAATATGTGCAACCTCTGTGAAGAAATTGAAGCAAAACTAGTGGTGGGCCACCAAACCGACAGACAGACAGCAGCAAAACAATATGCCCTCCCTTCTTTGAATGGGGTGCGAGCATAAATTAATTTTATGTGTACTTCTAATTGAATTAAAAACAAAATTACCCTTTGTCAAAATATAGATTTGTAAGCTGGAAGGCTGTTCTTCCTCATTTTTCCATGTTAGATTCAGACTGTTCTTCAAAAGATTCTGGCATACACCCCTGTAAGAGTAAACAGTGAAGATAATAAAGAGCTCCTAAATCAACTGCATATTTTTTTTTAAAAAAATCAACTTAAAAGGGATAACAAATGCATTAAACTGCATAAAGAAAACCAACTGATATTCGTATATACGAGGGTTGTTAGAAAAGTTCGTGGACAAGTTCTACTGTGAGTGCGCTATTTAAATCAAACTGGTCAAACTTTCTAGATAAAAACTTTACCTATTTTGCAATAAATATACAAAGATTTGGTGTTTTCAGGTGATCCTTAAAAAATATACTGTACAGCTATTTTATTTTGAGAAAATATGCTTCACGGAGCATGCTTCTTTTTCCATGTTTACATTTTAAAGACCTTTTATTGATATTAAAAATTGCACAGCTGTAGCGCACGAAGATTTATGATATTTTACCTTTCCCTACAGAATTCATGAAACATCACTTGGTCAAATTTTGAATTAAATTGGAGCGTATATTACCGTTTTATAACAATTTATAAATATTAACGTATAAAAACAAAGCCAAAAATGGGAACGTCATGGAGCACATATTTATAATTGATACTGTCTTACATTGAATTCAAGTAATTTTATTATAAATTCAATGTATTTTTCACCAGTCTGGCATCTTTGCATGAATAATGCAAACAAAAAAGCATTAACTATACAAGATATAGCACAGCTTACGCAATGCATATTTTGTCACATTCATACATAGCACAGCTTACATATATTAAAAGGCTAATGATTACAAAAATATTTTGTCATTTTATTACCACAAAACTCCGACTCAAATGCGTGGGCATTTAGGTTCCAAAATGGCAGTGAAAAGAGACGTATTTTATACTAAAAATCCGTACAAAATACGGGGAAATCGTAAGAGTAAACAGGTCTGCTACATGTATAAGCCAAGATTTCAGGGCAATGATTTCATTCGCTAATCAAAAGGTGGCTCTGACATGACCCCGAATGGTATGTTGTTAGATGTTTGAGAAGCTGTAGAGGATTCGGAACATCAAATTTTAATTAGATTGCATGTAAATATGGATAACAATTTCTTAAAGCATTCACATGATGCATAGGATATAAAACTATTCTTTTTTTTGAGTCAGAAAGTAACAACATATTGAAAATAATGAACCTATTTCCATACAGTACATGTAATTTATTCAACATGTAAGATAAATGTACTAAATATTTTAAACAAGGTTTTCCTGTTTAATTTGAATTTGAAGTGTACTTTTTAAAGACAGTAAGACAAAAACAAATTAATATGAGTTGCAAAACAATTATTCTTATTTTTTTTTTGTAAAATTCATGGATAATGATTTATATGTCTTTTTTGACAGACTTGTTTAAGAATCCAATTATAGTGCATATCACATTATAAAATATTGTTGTTTTTTGCTCAATACACAGCCCTTATAAAAATGATATATGAAAAAAAAGTACAAGGAATGATTCTGACTGGGTTTAACATTCATTCGATTGATCATACAATTGCACTTTCATTTTCAAAATGTTGTTAGGTTACTGGTATGACTATGTTTCTTTTGCACTGATGTTACAATTTATTAAAAGAGTATACATTGTATTAGCAAAAGTAATTATCATTTACCTTTCTTGGAATAAAGACATGTTGACCCTTGAGATAAGATTTCCTCTCTGTCCATAAAAGTGTTACACTGGGGTCCAACAAATTCTAGCACAGACCCTGTAAAAAAAGACATTAGGTATTATGGATATAAAAAAATGTAATTAAAATCCATATATTTCAAACATGTCTGTAATGACCGACATAATGCAAATTCAAAGCAAAATAATTACATATATTATATAAGAAGATAATTTTTGTAATTTTCATTGGCTGAAAGGATGTCACGTGATATTCCTCCTTTTGTGACACCGACGCGAAAGTGCGTCGGCAGAAAATGATGTGGAACAACACAGCGTTTGGTGCACTGAAGTTACGTAGAATATAAGATGCGTGTTTTTAACAATTGTGATGTAATGACAGCGAAGTCTGTTTAGTTAGGACTGTGTCATTGCATTAACTTTGTGTGATTATATATTATTATACTTTCATGTTCAATACTAAAATCTGATTGGTTTAGATGCAGTTACAATCCGTTCTATTACCCTCAGCCTTAGCAACACACGTGGCAACGGGTAACACAAAGGTAATGCCACATGCATGGAAATTATGCGCGTACGGTTCACCGTAGAATTGTCAAAACGTCAGTTGCGCGTTTGAAAGAACCGGAATAAACTTGACGTCAATAAAAGCTTGCGTCCGATGTAGCTTACTTGAAAACAACAAATGACAGACGAAACATGCTTGCGAGTGCAGAAATAACGAAACTTTAGATGGTAAAGGACTCGTAGAGTAGCAAATAAACAATAAAGAGGTCAGTAAATCTTTTTTGAATTTGCGGGGAGTTTGAAAGCTTTCTAAACGTGAACGAAAAAGGCTATCGGCAATTTGTATTGCTGACATAGTAAATCAAGAGGACATTCAGTATAATAAAATAAATGTTGCCTGTTTTGGAGGGTAACAGTTAAAATTGACACCCCTCGGAAACCATTGTCAACCTCCGCTGATGCGTCGGTTGACAATGGTTTTCCTTGGGGTGTCAATTTCAACTGTTACCCTCCAAAACAGGCACCATTTATACAATATAAAACTATTATGGACTTCAGTGAATGCTCAAATTATGTCATTATAAGGACTCATGGCAATTGATATTGACCTCAGACAAAGGAAATGATAGTGACTTCACAAGCTCAGTCGCTATCACTTTCTGAGTCTTTGGTCAATATCAATTGCCATGAGTCCATATAACCATATATTATATAACTTTGTGAAGTCCGGTAATCTGATTGGTCAATACGAAGTCATTATATTTCTTAAACATTCTCTGAAAGCCAATAATGACTTTCACGTGCTGCCTCGTTTTCACTTTCAATTTAAAACTAACCTCTGTGCGAAGAGAAAATTTGGACGACTGCACATTCATTCGATAGAATTTTTTGACGCCGTAACTTTGACCCACAATGCATCACTTGTTAAAGCTACGTTCTTGCAAGAATAGCAGCAAAAGTTCAACTAAAAGTAAACATGCCCTGATTTAATGGATAAACATTGAAGATAAATATAGTAAACAAAACGTTCTTCATTTACTTTCAGCACTGTTCAGGCTTCTTTTTGGAAATGTATTACTTACATTTATAAGACGTAATGTGACATCAGAGTCTAGACGCACTAAATGTCACGTGCAGTTTGATGAGCCTGATCTAAATTTTAACAAAATAAATATCTGTGCTCGCCATAACGGTTGTATCGTCAACATATTAAATTTAATTTTTCTAAAATTATTAATTAATTATGCCGAATAAATTATCATTTTCCTTCACTAATTTTCAGGTGTTCCATTTGTTTACATTTGGGTTTTTTTCGGTCTGACAAAATTTGATTAAGTCCTGTTTGTCGAATGCCCTGTGTGGTAAAAAAAAAACATTCGCATAGACTGTATTGATGTATGAATCACACAGACTTCAAGTAGGCATATTTTTCAAGAAGCTTTAGCGCTTCATGATATATGTCTAGGACCACTGTATGTAAGTTGTGGCTGAGCAAATCTATAAACATTTAACTTAGCATCTAGCTACTGATAGTCCCAAATTTCTCTTCACCTAAATATAAAGAGATCGAAGAGATCGCTATAAATCCAGTGATTGGGATAAGCACGCGCCCTGCGCCATAGTCGCATTAAATTTTAAAATGTCACATTAAAATTAAAAACGCTGCGCCATCGTGGCGCATATAATGCACTGCATACTTTTAAACTTTGAGCTTTCCCCCAAGCGCTTGTAGTCTTTCCCATAACAATCGCTGTCAATTTAGGCTTGAAATAAAAACAGTGTTTTACATCGTTCAGTTAAAGCGTTCATATGACTTTCGTTTCTCCAGTATCTAATCAAACAGTTACGTGTTTTCTGATTGGCTAACACGCACGAAATAAAACTGGTATTAGGAGTGCAGCATGCTGCCTAAGAAAATACCTCGTACCGATAAAGGACAGACTTTTCTTAATTTTCACAATCCTAACAAACAAATTTAAGTAAATCGCTACAAAATGACTCGGAAGAAGTATAACATGCTGACAGAACGAATGTAGAAAAATCTGACGGTAAGACTGATGATGTAGTCTCGGAGGAAAAACCAAAACGAAAATTTAACATAAATTTGAGGGAAGCAGTATAGATCTAAACCAAGCTTTAAATCATTTTAAAGATGTCAAACATCGGAGACAAAAAATAAAGAATTGAAATTAAATTGCAGTGTTTATTTATTTTCTGACACTTGTGAATTTGAATATACTAATTTTGTATATTTTAATGTCGTCATTTAATAATTTGACAATTTCAATTAAGTAAAGTCAACTGAAATTCAAACAGCAAGTAATCAATTGCAAATTTGTAACTAGGAAATGTCCCATTAAAAAGTCTGTTTGGCGCATTGAACTTTGAAATGTCACATTGACACTGACTTGGGGTGCGCCATTGTCACATTTACTCCCTAGCTTATCCCAATCACTGTAAATCTATATAACACTTTCAGTAAAGTTACACATAGTAAACTAACATAAAAACAAGATTACGAGAATCATGTTTAGAGGGTCAGTAGCTAAATGTAAACAGGTAACGTTACATGTAAACACGCGGGCTGGTGACACTGACAGTCATGTCACCGAAAATACATGTGCCATTTTAACCGACTTAGGCCTATGAAATTTAAAATGTAGGCCCCTAAATATCCATCTGCACACAGAGTTTTCCATAAAGATAATAGGCCTAATTTAAAAAGTGTAAATACAAAATAAACAAACCTCAAAACTGTTTTGAGCCTCCTCGTTAATCTTGTCGTTCTTCTCTGAATTATTCTGGTTCTCCGAGTCTGTCACTGAAAATGCAGGGAACCAGGCTAGTTTATTAACTCGTGCACATAATTGTTGACTTAATTTTAAAAGGAAAAATACGAAATAAACTTATAAAAATATAAACGAAATTAAATAATATAAAAAGAATTAATATTTCAGTTAAAAGTGGGGTGAAAACAACCAAACATTTTTCAGTTTCATTTGTTTGGGGATGGGGGGGGGGGTTAAATCTCAAACGATTGTTTTATTTCTGTCACCTGAAAATAATGCAGGGAACTACAGGTTATAGACTGCGACAATGAATTGTTGATTAATAGAAATACAAAATAAATAATGTTATGAAAAAAATGAATTTCCAACACCTTGAAGTTTTCATATACAGTGTAGGGGTAAGGTAATTGAAAAAGGGGGGGGGGGGGGGTAGTACAACCAAAACACCCTATCAGATTCAGGTTGGGCGAGGTTACCAACAAAAAATTGGTGATAAGCAAATGAAAAAAGATCATAAGGCAAAAGAAAGAAATGATCATAAGACTAAGAGCATGAAGAGGTAAACGTTATTTCTGAGGGGACCCAAGCATATAGCTTGAATAGGTGCTTCAGCTTGCGATACTTCTTTTTTCTATATTCGGCTTTGTCTTTAAATTTTGTTTGTGGACTTGTGTAAAAGAATATACTGATATCAACTTCATTTCGAATTTCCTTCAGGTTCAAATACGTATTTATAATCTTTCCTTCTTCAAAGTAAAATTACTACACCCCCCCCCTCCCCCCCCCCCCCAAAAAAAAAAAAAATCAATGCTTGCCTTGTGTATTTAGAAAGAAAAAATATTACTATATTATTTAAGTTACTTACCGCAATACAACTCTTTCTCAACAATTATCATGATTATGGTGTTGAAAGGTCATTTTCTGAAAACTAAAGAGGCATTCCGATGGTATTCGGAACAAATGACGGAAAGTACTTGCTAAGAATTCAGAACTTGATGCATAAATTTAGAATATTTTTCCTCTTTAGTTTTTTAACATAAAAAATGGAAAAATAAGTCGAAGAAACACTCATTTAAAATAATTTAACGCGGAAAAAATTATATATGCAAGATTTTTTGTTAAATTGCACGTTTTCCGTGGTCTCCACAATGCTGAAAAAATATCCTTTGAAATTCTACACAGGTAATACACTCTTTTCTTTTTCAGGTAAGATGATAGAAATTTGACAACTTTTTAATGTTAAATCACAGACAAAAACATTACTTTTATCTAATGGAAGACTGTTTATTTACCTAAAACACAACATTTGCAATACTCATGAGGTCAAAATATTAGGGAGACCAAAAAAGGTCGCCTTAATCCAGCGGTCTCCCTAAGCCAGATAATATATCTTCCGTGGTCTCCCTAAGCAATATTTCATATATATATATATATATATATATATATATATATATATATATATATATTGCATTACAGTATCTGTAGCGTTATGGTCATAACCCATAACACAACAGTTCTGCAGCTAGAAGGTTTCTAACAAAATCGGAAATACCAAAGCCGTTTAAATGACAAAAGCATGGTATACTTGTTGGATAAACTTCAACTTGATATGATTGTCATGTACTAATAAAATTTTCCATCCAATCTTTATGAAAAATAGATTACTTCAACACCAATCATCCAAATCCATTCAATATGCAGCAATTTACCTTCAATACCTGCACACGGAGTTCATATCACAATATTTGTTTCAGTCCCTTTTCACTGTAATCATTGTGCATAACTACATGTATTTCATGTTACTTTTATATATATATATATATATATATATATATATATATATATATATATATATATATATATATATATATATATATATATATATATATATATATATATATATATATGACGTATATGTACTAAAGATAGAATCTAATACATGCATGTGAACCTCAAATATCTCCAACCCGATCCCGAATTCGAACACAGAAAATGTATGCAGTAAATCATTATAAAATATATTTATACCATCATCTTCTAATATAATAGATATACCGTTTTAGCCATGAATCTATTTTGCTCTGTCTTTGCCAAAAGGATAACATAACACATAGTTTGTCGAAAAAGAGTATTTATTATTGAAAATGCCAAAAATTGTTTCACATCTTAAAGTACATATGATACACGTAAAAAATCTTTGGCACAAAATAGACAGTAAAACTCATGTAAAAATATCTCATAACATATATACAAAGATAAATGTGCCTAAGATATACACAGTACAAATACTGACATATAAAAAACAAATTTATTGCCCACTGGACAGAAAAGATGGGACTAATTCTTACAAAAAAACGCCATGAACAAGTGGCCTATCCAAAATCAGATAAAATGTTACAAACAGCATCTTACTCGCTAGAATAATATAAAACATTTCGTGCTTCATTGCAGCCAAAATACATACCTATTTGGCTTGATAACAAGAAAAGAAGTTTGAGGTTCAGCAAGATTAAATCTAAAATATGAAATATTAAACAGCGATCAATTTTTTTTCAGTATATCATCACATCTAAATGTACAAAGAATACTTTACTTTGGTTTGAAAAGGCCTTATGGAGAAGAGAAACTTACATACTTGACTTTCCCCTTTTCAAAAGTGGCGTTTGGGACATTGTCCACTTTCCCTATGAGCTATTGGTTAACTCTGAACAGTTTAAATCTTTAATTAATCAGATAAAGCAAAACAGAATTGCAACTCTAGAACCTCCTCCCATACTGCCAATGGATAATTTTTTATGATTCCGATTAACAAATCATCCGATTACGATAATTTAAACACTAACGTTAGGGTTAAGGTTAAAGGGGCCAGTAGATGAATATCTCCCAGACAGAGTGTGCTTGCAAAATCATGATATAGGTAACACAGTCACTACCTGGGAAATCTGTCTCAAAGCAGGGAACCGCCAGTTTGTTGGTAAATGAATGAGGGTATTGATTTAACCCAACAAAGACTAAGGACTGAATGTTATAAACAAGTAAAAGATCTATGAACGAGTCTCGATCTGTTTATCTTCAATAAGAGGTGGCTGAGATACCTGCAATGATTCTATCATAACAAAAATTGCAGTAAATATAAGATTGAAACAGATTTTATTAGTTTTCACATAAACAAACAAGAAAAAATTTTCTTTATTTCTATTTTTAAGAAAATTCCATAGGCGTTCATCATATTGATTGTAAGGGCATTAATATATATTTGACGAGCATGCAATTACCATTATTCGGAGAATTTCTTGCTAAAGGAATAGACTGGTATTGCCTGTGTGATCTTGTGTGCTATAATTTTATTCTTAAAGCCAAAGG